TCAAACAAGACTTTGGCAGAGGAGGTCAAGCAGAAGGGATATTTTTCATTGTTGTTCATCAAAGGAACACAAAGATGAGAGGGCTATTCTTGTGACCTGCAGGGGATGTGCATGTTTGTTTTCCTCTGTGAAGATGACAATAGTCCAATTAAGAGTGGACTTCTGGGAAAGGTTTTGTGAACTGAAATGTCTCCTTGAGAGCAGAGCCAGCAACCCCAGCAAAAGTTAAGGAACCGATGAGTAAGTTGGTTTCTTGAAATGCATTCAGATAAGGAGAGGATGAGAGATCACACACATGTGCGAGAAGAGTGCAGAACAGTAGTTTTCTGCAGTCTGAACACCAGGAGATAATGGGATTAGCCATCTTCTCACAACTGAAAGGGAGCCTTTAAGTTTAAGGCCACTAAGCTGGCAAGCCACCTTTTCTAATCTTTTTCAGAAATTGCCTATTAATTATCGTAAAGCTCTTAGAGATCTTCAGAATGAAAAGTTTGAAAAGTCATTGGGTGAATTTATCTTGAACTCTGAACAAAAGAAAAATTAATTATAAGCTTTAAAAAATGGAAATAAACAGGGAAAAAAGCTAAATAAGATTTTGATCTAAGAATGTTATAAAATGATTAAGGGTCCAGATAAATTTAGAATGTTGTTGACTTTTGCCATAAGACTTTGGAATTAATTATAAAAAATTAAAAATCTCATGAGAAACACACTTATTTTAGCTATCCGGGCTATTGTAAGTCATATTAAAGATAAGTTACTTTATGATTTTAGAAACTGGACACCAGAGGAGACTAAAATAAGCAGAAGAAAGAAAAGATGTGTAAGCTTATTCTTGATGTCAGTATTTTATGGGAACTAGGACTTACAAAATGACAAAAATGTTATCAGAAACCTTAAAAGATACATTTTAATAATGGAGCCAGAAATTAATATCTATAATATCACTACTGTCAATAATGATGTCTGCTTCTAGGGATAGAGTGTTTTTAAGAGATGTTAATAAAGGGATGATTGATGTGTAACACATTTTATCTGACAGGATAAAATACTGAAAGTGAAACTACAAATGACAGGCCAAGAGAATTACTTGGAAAAGGACACTAGATAAACAAAAGAAACTGGCTGAGGCTTTCAAAGTTAAAAGGGAAATGCAAATGATAAACCAAGAGAATGATCTAGAAAATGTTTTCTTATTGGATCTACAAAAGAAGCATGATAAAGTCTTGAGGAAATCTGTGATGGGATTAAAAAAATTAAGAAGAAATCATATCCTTCAATAGTTTGTGATTGAATTAAAGAAAGGAAGGAATATAAAGTTGATTTGCCTGATTAAAATTTTCTTTTGCAAAGTTCTGGCAATCCTTTATGGACTTTCTTGCTGATACCAGGATTGAAAAGTTGATGTTTTATGGATTTGCCTATAGATAAATGATAAGGGCTGAAGAGACATACGTTTGTAAACTTATAGGAGGAGAGTTAATAAATTTGTTTATACTTGTTATGATGGTCACTCCTTTATATGTTTCTTTTCTTTTTGTTCTCTCATTTTGCTTTCCTACACTTTTTATTTTTTCCGATCTAAGTTTAGTTTGTATTAGTTTTACTATTGTAATCAGAATTCTTAATAAAAGTTATATTTAACTGTTCAGTCAAGAGTGTTTGAGTAGGAATTCAAGAAAGTGGTGACTACAATGATACTATTCTATATAGTATAATATTACTATACTATTGCTATGAACTGCCAATCAGTTTATAAGGATAAGGATAATCTCCTCTTGAACCAGGTAGCCAAATTTCAGGAAGAAGAAACATATTAATGATGGGAAGTAACCTGACCAAGAATGGAAGTTCCCCCAAATTCCTCAGTGATCCTGCTGTTTCATTTTTCAAAAGGATGAGGAAGAGACATGGGGATCTGTTTTCCTAGACTGGGTCCTAACCAATAAAAAAGAAATGTTTGAAGAGGTTAAAAAAACTTATCCAAGTTTATTGCTAACCATAAACTCATCTTAATGTGAAGTATCAAATAAATTTGACTATTAACCCCAAGAAAACCCAATCCAAACCTCACCCATATGCCAATATCAATATTTACCTTAACCACTGCACCAGCACAAAAATAACTGTAACATACAACTACTAACCAGAAACTTAGTTATAGCATACACCACTTGGTATCTTGATCCTAAGCCTTGCTTCACTGTGTCACAATAACTATTTATTTATTTATTAGAATTTGTCAAACAAAAACGAGAACAAGAATAAAAGAATAAAAATACAATGACAGGGACGATAGGCACGTTAGTGCACTTATGCACGCCCCCTCTACTAACCATTTAAGTACGACGTAAGGTCCACAGTGACTGAAACTGTGAAAATTTGTAACTGAAACAACTGAATCAGATAGAGCATTCCAGACTTTGACAACTCTATTAGAGAAATCATATTTTTATAGTCAAGTTTAAAACAATTAAACATTGAGTTTAAAGTGATTGTTACCACACATATTATTGCGATTAAAACAAAAAAAAGTCATTTACAGGTAAAACATTACTAAGTATAATTTTGTATGCAACACCTAGGTCTGACCACAAGCGACGCAGTTCTAAGTTATCCAGACTGAGAATTTCAAGGCTAGTAGCATAGGGAATTCTATTGTGTACAGAAGAGTGCAAGACTTTTCTCATGAAATACTTCTGAACCCGCTCAATTGTACTGATGTCAAATATATGATGGGGATTCCAAACAGTTGAGCAATACTCGTAAGATTGGTCTAGCATACGTTTTATGAGCTCTAATTATGCAAAATTAAATTTAAAATTCTTAATGCTTTTTTAGCAACGCTGTTACAGTGAACTTTGGAGCATAGATCATAACTAATAAATTCTCAATCAGAAAATAAATGTGCAATTGCCACAAACCATAAAACTCATCTAATAATATCATCATGCTAACTGTTGGAATAAATCTCAAGGAATACTTAAAATAATTCTAACTTCACCCCAATGCCAATAAAAATATTTATACTAACTCTTGTTCCAGAAATGGAGGCCAACAGTAAGGGGAAACTAAGACTAGCTCTAATAATTCTAAGCATGCGCGCATAGAACTGTGCACAGAACCTGTAGGAAACAATTTGGAAACTCATCACTAGTCAACAAATTTCACAGGGGATTAGACTTGGGTCTCTTGTAGCAATGCAATGACTCCAAACTGATGACTTGTTTGACTCTGACTTCTAGTTCCTCATGCTTTTCTATAAAAACTGCCACTGGCATTGAAACATCTAATGATATTTCATAGAGACAGAGCTTGATGATTCCAGCCATCCTTTTCTAGTCTAGTGCTTTTAACTTTCACACTGTGAAAAAACCTTAGTTTCTTGCTTGCTATTTAATCATGTCAGTGACTACGTTGCTTAGAGACAGGGTGTAAAAATTCATAGGCTAGGATACTCCTGCATTTTATTTAAGCACATGGACATTTTCACAGGGGACAAGATGGGCAAATGATGACAATGACATAATTGTGCAACAGCTTGTGATTTACATACTTGCATGATTATCATCCCATGGATTTTAGAATCAACACTGTTTGGTGGGTATGTTGGTAAGTTGCTATTTCAAACACATTTTCACTGAGGACATTTCCTGGAAAACACTTGCATTAGTAGGCTGTTTATGGCAAATGTCTAGTGAAATCAAACTCTTTCTTCAGACAGAAATTAAATCAAGGCTGAAATAGATTTTGGTGGGATTTCTTTTCAAATTGGCATTAGGTCAGAGAACCATAAATTAGTTTGTGCACTTGCAACTCTTCAGCTTTATACGCTTCAGAAACTATTTGCCTACCAAAGCTTTCAGAGCCCCTTTTGTAGTAGAAAGGGGCTCTGAAAAGCTTAACTAAAAGCTTAACCAAGAGAAAAAACTTTATTTTCTATCAACAGATATTGGATAGATTGCCACTTGTCTAGTCTGTTCTTTACAAAATAAATAGCAAGCTCACCAGAAGTCAAGGTCTCTATTGTATACATCAGACAAAGCATGTAAATGCATGAAATCTGCATGAAGAACAATTTCCTCACTTTTGAAGGAAATTCACATGTAGCAGAGGAGGAAATTAGACAGTATACAGTAGATCAAAGCCACCAGCAGGGTTTTCACATCTCCTATTTTAACCTCAGGAAATTAAGCCGGGGGTTGGCATGATCAAGCACCTACAAGTTACTACTAGAACTTTTTTAGCCACAAGTTCTCTGTTTTGGCTCCTTGTTGCCAATGCTTGTTTGCTTACATTTTCTGAGTGAAGAAACAAACAATCATTCAGGACCAGAAACATAGTGGAGAAGTTTGTTTCCATTTCTCTTTCCTTCTGCATTGGGTCCAAAGTAAGAAGGCAAAAACAAACAGTTGCAGCCAGTGGTGGGTTTCAAAAATTTTACTACTGGTTCTGTGGGCGTGGCTTGGTGGACATGGCAGGGGAAGGATACTGTAAAATCTCCAGTCAGAGGTGGTATTTGCCAGTTCTCTGAACTACTCAAAATTTCCGCTACTGGTTCTCCAGAACCGGTCAGAACCTGCTGAATCCCACCTCTGATTGCAATAGGAGTGAAATCAAATGTTTCTCTCTGAGAAAAATTTAAGCCGGGAACTTGTCCACTTTGAAAGTGATGGGTCTTTCAGAATTAGGACATGTTCCTACCATACTTTTCAAACTAATGATATAGAAGGATAGCTCCCATCATAGCCAGCATGTTCAGATGAGAGCACATTACTTGTAGGAAGTAAGGATCAAAGTATTGATGTAAAGTCTTTTATCATCTGCCTTTAAGTTCTTAAGCTGATTATTTCTTCTTTTTCCGCTTAGCAAAATATTGGTTGTCTCGAAATGAAATATTTTGATGTGTATATAAACATGTCTAAATGTGAAATTTGTAGTATTGAGAGTGATTCATTCCATTTTGTTTTTATTCATGCCTCTCCTCCCCCTTGACTTAGGTCTGCCTTATGGGTGGGAAAAGGCGTATACAGCAGATGGAATCAAATACTTCATCAAGTAAGTACATCACTTTCAGAAGGCAGTTATAAAATAGATAAATAAAATAAAGCTTTATAATCTTAGATGCGTATGGCCACTGAGGAATATGATCACTATGATAGTAAAAAAGCATAGAAATATGCTCGAGCTGGCACATACTTTGCAATGTCTTGGTTATACATACTGATAGAAAGTTTGGGCATAGAAATAAAGAGTTATCTTTTAAAGAATAAGAAAAACTTCTACTAATAGCATTTATGTTATCGTGTTCAAATTCTGTAAATCTTTTGCCTTTGACTAAGGATTTCCAGGGATAGATAGAAACATTTTTACCAAGGGTTTTCAAACTTGGCAAGTTTAAGACTTATGGACTTCAGCTCCCAGAATTCCTGAGCTAACATGACTGGAGGAGGAATTCTGGGAGTTGAAGTCCACAAGTCTTAAAGCTGTGAAGTTTGAAGACCCCTGATTTTTACTGTGTTAGCCATGCAAATACGTGTTCAGTTTCTTCCTTTCAAACTTTGATCAAATATTCAATCCTTACCATGTGAATTCTGCTCAGACCTTCTCATTCTGATTTCCATATTTTGAGTGTAGCTGTTGATAACCGTATCTAATGAATTGAATATCTTCCCAAAGCTTGGTGTGGTTATCCAAAACCTTTATACATCAGCAAATACATACTCTTTGCTGTGAGCTATACTCAAACTAAGGAAACATGTCACATCAGGATTAAAAACACAGATCTCATACACCCATGCACATTTAACTCTTGAACTGGGTTGTTCGATTCTGGATTTAAGGTGTTAAAGAAGATGCCATTATTATCTGAAATTAATCCTTTCTTTTGTGCGGTCCTAAGATCCCCATAGTATGTACTGGTGCGGCTTAGAAACAACAGTCAAACAACAAACTATTAATGGGATAGTAACTCATTTGTCTCAATAACAATCAGGATTCAAAATTTTAGTTCTCATTCTCACAACAGTCTTAATTCCCAAATGCTCCCCAGATAGGAAGAGATGGGGAGATTCTTCTTGTTCGATGATAGATCAAGCTTTCTTGCTATCTCAAAGTGATACACATTTGATGTTGATTGCAGGCAAATTAAGATTCCCATAGAAAGAAATATAAACATGTAACTTTGTTCATAAATTGTTCCCACCCCATTATAAATAGTTGTGTTGCTACTGCTAATCTTTTCATCATTAATTTTTATCTAAATTAGCATGGACTCTCACAACACACCCAATGCACCGAAGCAGATCACTGCATTTTGCTGCATGACACAAGCAATCTAACCAAAAGGGAGCATGTGCAAACACAGACTTGATTCAAAAAGCAATGGGCTTTTTTTTTTCATTGAGTTAAAAATTCTTCTCAGAATGCAGTTTAGAGGCTGGTCAGTAAAGGTCACTCTGCTTCTTAGCATTTTGCTTCTATAAAAATACGGGAACTATTTCTTCCTCCTGTCCTACACCACCTTCATAATGTGTGTGAGGTAGGGGGGTGAGTTTGGTGCCAGATGAGTTGTGTGCTTGTTCTTTGTATTAATCAATGTCATATCATCACTCAAAAGGTGTTATACATTTATCAACAGCAAACTTTTATCACTGAAACAAAATGAATGTCAAAACAAAATTTCATCTTACTCAACAAATGACTTTTAAAGATTTCCTCCGAAACTGAGTGATACTGAGAAATATATTTTTGCAGAAGTCTAAAATAGGTTACTAATCCTCAGGAAGAATGGTGACCTCTCCTCCCCTCCTCTCCTTAAAAATTAATATTGATCCATTTTCTCATTTCTCATTTAAATCTCTGGAAATTAACAAATTATCTTAATAAGCTTTCTTTGGAATAGACCAGTCCTGAAAGAATTTCACAGACAGAAGCACCTTTAAACCAAATGTAATGGGCTGCCAAAAGGTTTTAAAAACTTAAAATATTTTTAATTATATATACATAATAAATATACACTTAGCACCTTAAAAACAGTGACACAACTAGTGCTGGTATTCACAACCAGCAGCAAGGATTTGGCAAGAGTCGCCGCACCGGTAGTAATTTCTGGCTGGCCATGCCCCCAACCCGGTTGCTGCTCACTCGCCTGCCCCGCCCGCCCCATGTTCGCCCGCCCAGTCACTCCTTAAGGTATTTCTTCTTTTTTACCTCACGACAAGGATTCCCCTTGCTTCTTACTGCTTTGCCCAAAAGGCTTCCCTGAGGCCTAGGAAGGCAAAAAATGGAGGAAGGGGGCTGCACCCCCTCACTCCATTTTTTGCCTTCCTGGGAGCAAAAACATCCCCCTCAGAGGCTTCTCTGAGGCCAGGAAGGCCCCAAAAATGGGGTGGGGGGGTGCTGTAAAAAAAGCCACGCCCACCCAATCACATGGCTACACCCACCTAGCCACATCTACCTAGCCATGCCCACAGAACCAGTAGTAAGAAATTTTGAGTCCCACCACTGGACACAACATTTCTATTGATACAACAGTTTTTATGAGTAAACATCAAAATTTCAGTCAGCTAATCCCAAAGAAAATTTGGCAAAATTACATACAGTGCATTTTTATGTTATAGAAAAGTCAGAAGATTGAGGCCAAATGACACATATAGCTTGGAATTGCTCCTAATATTGCCTTTTTGGCGTTGTTTGCTTCACCTATAGCTTGTATATATTTGGTTGTTCCTGGGATATGGGTAGAAGTAGTTTGTTCCTCTTTCATCAGAACTGTCCACTGCTGAATAAAAGAGGCTTGAATTCTCCTGGTACTAAACAATATCAAAATAAACAATAACCAGAACTTCCAATAAGATGACTAGAAAAAAGGAGTTGGCACTTCATTAGATGTCACCCATTAGGTAGTTTTGAGATTTATTCTACCTGAACATTTTTTTTAAGATTAGATCTACAAGTTTAGAGAGAGAGAGTGAGAGTGAGAGGAAGACAGAGAGATAGATTTAACCAAAAGAAAAACCAAATGAGAGGGGTGGCCCTCAGTAAGCAAACTGGATCTCAGTAGATATTCAGACTTCAGAGATTTCTCCTTCACATCCCCTGGAGGACTTCTGCCAAATATGGTAGCAGGAGAAACACTATTTTGAAGCCAGAACATTTTAGGTTGCTTTCTGCCTGCCTCAGCAAAGAGTTAATGACAAGATGAAAGTGCCTTTGTGAGAATATGTCCTCCACAAACTGTTAATTGCTGTCCTCGCTGCTGTGGCAAATAGGATGTATGGACAGGATCTGTGGACAGGCATGAGTCAGCAATCATCTCTCAGAACCAGTCAGTTATCCAGACCACAACCAAAAATTGCTGCTGTGTTACAAAAAGATATCCTTCCCTTAGAAAGAAGGGTTTCAAACGTATTTTTAATCAGATGGTCCCATTCAGGCTTTATTTTAACATGTCTATGTTATATAAAGAAAAAATAGTGGAAGAAGTACATTTCAGTCTGTTCTTTCACTCTTTGGTATTTGAAATAACTGCAGTTATGAAGGTCTTTAATTTATTTCCTACTGTTCTGTTTCTATTGTACAAAATTAGGAACATGTCTTGGTTGTCATGGTAATTATAATTCCCCATATCATTCTAACTTTTAATCTACTGTGCCTGACTCCTTCAGTTTATATTCAGGGCTATTCTCTCAATTGAATTTCAACTGAAGGTGATGGGTTAAATTAGATTTCTTGTTGTAAGGGAAGAGACTAGTAAACGCAATGGTATTATTAGCTCAGCAGATAGCTTGACTCCATAAGTTTGAATAACAATGAATGCAATAAATGCTTTACAAAAATGGCATCTGATTATTTTTAAACTGGAGTAGTAAAATCAACTCTTCTTCGGGTTTGAAATTGACTCATGCTGACCACAGTGGGACAACCATGTTATTTTCTTGACAGTGTTGTTAAGACACCTTCTGGAATGTTCTTTCAGTTTCCCCAAATAAACCTACACTTCTGGAATATGCTGGTGATTCTTATTACAGCCTGACTTATGTTTTTGTTGGAAAAGAACATATTTATGTCTATTAATATAGAAATAAATTCTAAAAAGTATGCAGCATAATTTATTAGGTGTTTTATGAAATACAATGTCATAAAGACATAATCTGAGATGTCAAACTTTTGTATTTAATCTGTCTGTAAATGTTCTCTTAGAACTTTAATCTGCGTTATTATTCTGGCATATAAAATAATATATGATCATAGTCATAGTCATACTTGAGGTATAGGAGACTGCCACAGAGACTGTGAGCTTTCTTGCACAGGATCTCTTAGAATGAGCGGAGACTACAAAGCAGGTAATGATTTGTACAGATTTTATTCAATAAGACAAAAAAACACATCCTTATAGATTTTCCCGTTGGAGTGTTCCCCATTAGTCCAATGCAATATCAGTATGGCTAACTTCATGAAACTGCAACTAAGAGCCACGGTGGCGCAGTAGTTAGAGCGCAGTACTGCAGGCTACTTCTGCTGACAACCAGCTGCCTGCAATTTGGCAGTTCGTTCTCACCGGCTCAAGGCTGACTCATCCTTCCATCCTTCCAAGGTGGGTAAAATGAGGACCCAGATTATTGGGGGCAATAGGCTGACTCTGTAAACCACTTAGAGAGGGCTGTAAAGCACTGTGAAACTGTATATAAGTCTTAATTTTAAAGAAAGAACTTGCCTAATTTTTCTGCTGCACTCACTGAATTGGCATTCTTTCGGTGCATAGCAATTTCCTGCATATTTAATTATAATTCCATTCTGCCCATTTTCTACAATACTATAGTTTAAAGAGGAAAAGCTCATAAAAACTCATATATTTTTCAATCCAATTTTCCCTTACTGTGCCTGTGTGCAGTTGCATGTATAATTATGGAACCAAGCACAGCATATGCATAATTACAAGAAGCATATACTGAATGATAACTGGTTTATAATATTTGTTATTAGCCTGAAAAGTGGAAGAGTTAGATCACTTCAAAAAATGTAGATCAAGTACAGTCACACCTCGGCACTCAACT